TGTGAACGTTACTTATGTTGAAATAAGTACAGAAATGGATTGATTAACATTTTGATACACATGGAAGTAAAAAGATAATAAAATGTTATTTAATTCAAGAAATTCAGGATTGCTATTGCTCCTTTGATATCTAACAGTGATGAGTTACGGTACCATATATTTCCTGTAATGTAAAAATATAAGCACATTTTTTGTTATAAAGAGCAATGAATGTATTTATTATAAATTTTAAAACTACTTGTTAATCTCGTTATTAATACTAACATGATTATTATATGACAAAATGTTCGCAATTATGATATTCTTCAAAAAAATGCTGCATACAGAAATATTGCTTGCACCATGCATATCGTATTACAGCAGGTGCACCACATATGGAGCAGCGAGGTATTTCTTGAATATCCTTTCCGTTGAAACAAAAATCTACTAGAGTTTCGAATTGTGGCGGCCGTTCTTCAATGTATCCAATCTTATACTAGGCATTTAAAAAGATTATGAAATCGCGGAGAAAATAGTTGTATGTGCATTAAAGATTGTAATTTGATGATATTATTTCTCAAATGTAAATTAATTTCATAATTTAGTAACATGACGCGATCACTGAATGTTCTCACAAAGTTTTTCCATAGTCTAAATCCATAAACGTCAAGAGGTTGAATCATTTCCGTTGTTTTCTTTGGTATAGTTAAAATTCGTATATCTTTATCTTTTTTTGGCATTAATTCTTGCAGATTTACAGGACAATGCTCCAAGAGTCTAAAGCCCGATTTATATTGACCGTAAGCTGAAATATATGCTGACTACATAATTAAAATTATGGATTAATGATAAAAATGTATAGTTTTGGAGAATTCAGAAGTATTAATTTTGTATTCTTTTATAATACATACAAATAAATTACTTACAAAATATATACATTTATTATAAACTGTACCTTTATTTCTGTATGTATATATAACAATAAAATCACATATATGTTACTTGTATATTTTAGTATCAATTAAAGACTAAGTTTTATTCTATATATTTTGAAATTATTTGCATGATTTCAACTTAACAAGATATTAAATCTTTTTTTTATCAATATTTTTTTAAATCTCCATATAAGGAAACACAAAATTTTTTTAAGGAATCGTTTTCAGCATTTGCAGTATTTCTATAAGTAACATAGTTTTTGAAAGCATCTACAGCACTAGTTAATTGTATGTCAACGTCTGAGGGTTGTTTCCTCTTACTAGTTCTTAATATAGATATATTTGGCGTTGTGGGTCTATGTGGTGTAGATGTGTTTGGTAATCTTTGTAGTATAGATATATTAAGTATTGAAGAACTTGTTTGTTGTTCATGAAATATATTTTCGCTGGGAAAATTTGACAAAGATTCAAAAAGTTCCTCTACAATAGGTATATCCGTGTGAGTATCTGTGGAATCTGCAAATATTCACAGTATTAGTTATAGATCTCAATAAAAGTAATTTGTTTAACAATTGTGATAGCTATATAGATTAATATTTAATACCATAATGTATAAAATAAGAAACTTTTAGATATATATATCTATCTCATTAAAATATTCTTCATTCATTAAAATATTCATAATTCATATTTTGTGTAGAATCATCCTTTTCAATCAGGCTTGTATTGTTGCTTGTACTGTCTTAATCAAAATTCTGGGATTCAGGAAAATTTTTCAAAGAATCGTATACATTTGATTCGAATGGATCATTCGTCATTCTAACATTTCCAAATGTTCGTCTTTTCCTCACCACAGAATGTAGGGAATCTGTCATAATCACGCAACACAAAAAGTCTAATTTTATTTAGGTGGGGGGGGGGGGGGTTAAACTGAATAATTACCTTATATTTTATTGTTTTATCAAACAATGATATATGTACATTTACCTGATTCGTAATTCTCCGCTTATGAACAACCATGAATTCTCTACAGCGGCGCAATCTTTATATTTTGCGCTAGATTTATCGTATAAATGTGGAAATCTTTCCACTAAGGTTATCAATTTAATATCTCTATTAACTGTTTCGTTTATTTCCATCTTAGCTCGTATCGAAGCTGCACAGAAATGATATAGAATCGGTCACAGTGATCACACAAGTAGAGACTTGTAAATTTTGATCAATCTCTACATAATCACTTGCCGTTAAAGATAAAGTTGAGTTAACTTTACGGATACAGCGCGCGCGCGTGTGTGTGGTGTGTGTGAGGGGGAGGGAGACTATTACAATTATAAAACTGTTTGAAGAATAAAATAATATAAAAATACAACGCGAAGTGTATAATTTATTCAGGTATAAATAAATAAAACAATGAATTTGAATGTGATAAGCAGAGTCCTACCGAAACTGAAAACGAACATTCATTACGTGTCAGCTTCGACTGAAACTATATAGCTCTTCTTCATAAATATTAATTTTAATATGTGTAATTATTGTTTCAATAATTAAATTATAATGTTCATGAAGAAGAAGTACTTATATTCTTTGGCCAAAATTGACACACAATCGAAATTTCGGCGTTTTATTTTGGTCGAAATTTAATTGTTTCAATAAATTATGATATTTGTGAAGAAAAAGTGTATGATATATAGGGCATGTCTATACTTTATAGGATTCCTATTTTTTAATTTTGGTTTTGGTTTCGGTTAAAATTGACATGTAGCTGACTGTTTTGGTTCAGTTTCGGTAAAAGTTTTGGTCGAACTCTAGTAATAAGAGATGCTTACACATACATATATACATGTATACTTATTGTATATAATATTGAACAGAAATATTGCGAGAAATGTAAAGCAAGAAATAATAATTTCTGAAAGAGCAGACTGTTTTATAATGCAATTGCAACTATGTTTTATATTTTTAGAAGAAAATAGCAGTTCTTTATTTTTATAGAAATTATTATTTTTTGCTATATATATATATTTAATTATACATTATACAAATTAACATAAATGAACATATAACAAGAAAAGGGACCCAATTGTTCCCCTCTGATTTTAATGATAAACTTGTAGTATATTGTTCTCTAGATAAAAATAAGCGACACGTTTTTTTTTTATACGTGTTCAATCGCTTTTAAGGAGTGAAAACATCCCTCGGAAAAAATTGGTTTTTTCTCTTTCGAAGTGAATATCGCCGAAACTTAAAGATAGAAAAAATTTTTCAAAATGAAAGTTGAATGATTTCAAAGAGGATAATTGGGTTCCTTTCCTCGTAAGATTGAGTGTGGTTTGTGTTGGATCATATAATTATCATTATATATCCCAACAAATCGTACTCAATTTTAATAAATGTGTATATTAATAAATATATTATATATAAATATTTATGTATGTATTTTAGAAAACACGAATTAGCAATTCTTTTCCACCAAGCTTTTAATCCTACATTATACTACTTTTTTAGAGTTATATATTATTATAAATATATAATTATTGAATTATAAAATATTCATACATGTTTACAAATTTAATAACGAAAAAGAAGTTGCTAGAAATATAAAATGGACATTAATCAGTAATTTACTATTGGCCTCGAAATGCTAATAAATATGTACTTTTTTAAGAGCAAATAAAATATAATTTGTATTTCACATTACACAAAAATATTTTGGTTATATTTAACATTACACATTACAGAAAATATTTCATTATCATATATTAGTATTATTTTTGGTTATTATATATGTAAATAAATTCTATGATTTTACTTCTATTTAAATTATAACATCATTAAATTGCAAATCAATATGAAAATACAATTAGAATGTGTGTAGTTATCAATACTACAAAATCAGATCGTAAACATGATCTTGCGTTAAAAGTTCCTTTTTTACACGATTCTGAACGTATTTATAAATCGCTAATTGTCACGTTTTCTTTCAAAAGAATTTTACATAACATGACAATTGAATCAGTTTCCGTGACAAATTATGCATAAATCAGCATTAATTGTTTTGATTGTATATATGAAAGTTACACGTTTCGTAAACTATTCATCGACGTTAAATGCGAAAACAATAACGAGCATATAAATTCGGTAATAAAGTTTTTCATTCCTTGATACAAAGTCAAATACTTGATCATATAACGCTAACTTGAACGTATCTTCTTATAGAAATTGTCTTTGCTTGAAAGTGTTAAATCTAATTCCGCCGAATTACATCGATTAAATTAACTTTGAAGGTGAGAATATGTACCATCATACACATGTATTTCTATTTTTAATAATTTTATCTCTTGGAAATCTCTTTTATTGCACAAAATTTTTATAAAAGTTCTTTCATTATTATAAAATTCAAATTTATATTACATTATAACGCTTTTGTGTTTGTACGACAAAAAGAATATATTGAATCGTTTTGTAAAGATTAAAAACAAGATTTGTATCGCATTATCACTGACAACTATACGAAATGTGGATTGACGAATAGCTTTAACTTTGTAATTATATTTATATTATCTGTGCGTATTAACTATAACCGATAATTGTAACGTGTTTGATTTATCGTTTCGCATTTGACTTTTTAAAATATAATTTACGTTTATGATTTTATGTTTTAAGAATGATATTTTAAATATGACTTTCGTTACTGACATCCTACGTGTGACTATTTGCTTCTTTACTTATAATTTATGCCACGTTGTGATTTTAATTGATTTTAATTTAAAAACAAGAGTTAATTTTCTTCTATTTTCATTTGCACTCTATTAAAAAGAAATTAATTAATGAATTTTGAAATAATTAACAAAAGAATTGCAGAATAATCTACATAATTTACATAGAATAAGTTGTTACAGAGAGGATCGCATAAGAAATGAGATTCACATTTGTACTATTGTGTAGTATCGCGTTCTCTGGACTCGTTTCAGGAAAAGAATATTATTCAGATACATATAATGTAGATGTGGATGCGATTATTAACAGCGATCGTCTTTTAAATCAGTATGTGAATTGCTTTCTCGATAAAGGTCCCTGCACCGCTGATGGACGCAGTCTTAAAAGTAAGTATACATTGCAGTTTATGTTTTATTTCAATATGTTGCAATAATTTTATACGTATCGCATTTTTTATAAGATAAAAGGAAGAAAAGGGATTGAAATAAAAAAAGAAAAAATGTAACAAAAGAAAATAATAGTTCATATTCAAATATGATCCGCGAAATATTATATATATTTATACATTGAGATAAATGAATACATTTCTTGATTTATACGTATAGATATTCTCCCGGATATGATACTCACATCTTGCGAAAAATGTACCGAAAAGCAGAAATACGCAACAAGAAAAATAATCAGTCATTTGAAAGAACACAAACCAAATATTTGGACAGAGTTCCTCGAAATGTATGATCCTGACAAAGAGCGTATGGCATCTCTCGAGCAATTTTTGGTAGAAGATCAAATGAAGGGTTAATCTCTTTCTCTCTCTTTATTAGGTTTTTCCAATAACAGTCAAATAATTGATCTTAAATAAAGGAATACATTTTATGTAACGTTAAATTCTGATTGCGTATAATATCTAAGTATTTGATTATTTATATCTTAATTTAGTCTTATCAAACCTATACAATAGCAATTAATGCCATCAACCAATAGCTGAATGTGAAAAGAAACACTTTCTAATATTAATTCTTACATGGCAAGATATTTACATGTTTGAAAAAGACAATTTTAAACAAAATTGATTTCAGATTCTATATCCTCAATATTTATACAAAGTATCATTCTATAGAGCATGTCTCCAAAAAGATACCCATATCGGTATTCAAATAATTCTTTCTGTCTCTCCCACTTTCCTAATTCCTGTGAAATAAAAATAACTGTTAAGTCTTTCAAGTTAGGATATTCTTAAAGTATAAGTTACAATTTTGTTTCACGTATTAGCGTATAGACTTTCAAATTAGAATGTTCTTAAGGTATAAGATAGAATTTTGTTTCACGTATTACCGTATATGTATCATGCGTGTTTTTTAATCATTGTTCCAAATTGATATTAACATTATGTTAAAATTATCAATTTATTTTTTAAAAACTAGACAGTTTTGTTCCGACTGTCGAAATGAAATTTGACTTTTTTTTATTTTAAAAATAGAATGTTTTGCATATAAACAAAACCCAAAATGTATATACTCAAATTTCATATTCAAAAATACACATACGTATGTTTTCGAATTAAATTCTTACATATGTGTGTACGTGATTTTACAAACGTCCATATCCGATAGCGAAAGATTCTGCGAATCATTACAGTCGATATCGTCAATCCATATAATCGGTTCGTTAGTACAATTAGAATTTATATCCTCACAATTCATTATAATATGTATCCTGTAGATTGTGCTATCGTTTAGCTAAAAAAGATTTTGTAAATGAAATTATACATTTTACGATAAAATATTTAATAAAAAGCATTTTACATACGGAGTTATATATATGTATATTTATCATTTCAAAATTTGATTATGTGTTATATATTTTATAATCGTGTCTTGTTTGGATGTATAAATGCAATTATTAACAAATACCTCGTTATAAGTAATGTTACATGAAATCATTTTCGTGCTGTTCTTCCATTCGATTATTGTATTTGTTATAATCCATTGGCCAGGATCGCAAACTTGCGAGTCTTTCAAATTAAGAGTCTGGAAAAGAAAAATTAACAGATTACAATACTACTTTATATGAATATTACTAATCTCGTTTTTGCCAGGTTATGATGTATGTACTGTAGTCGTGCAGTTTCAGTAACAAGTAACCTGATGAATAGGAAACGTTAATTTCGCAAAATAAAGAAATTTGATTGAATTATTTTTATTGTATCTCTCCGCTGATTCATTGCTACATTCGCTGCTGAATTGGATTATTCGCAGATCTTTATTAAATTTTTATTAATTATTGAGAGACAAAACGGTATAAAATTTTTTTATTTAGACCGTGTTCCGATATACTGTCAGTATTAAAAATTTATACTATACATAATGTAAACTATAGATTGTCAGTACTGATAGTGTATTAGAACACGGCTTTAATTTTTATGCTGTATCTGCTCACCAGAGTTGGATTATCACCTGTATATATATATATATATATATATACACAATAAAGTTATATATTTACGTATATGTATAATATATAACAGAAGTTAAATATAAGCACTTTTACGACTATTTATTGACTGTCAGGGGGAGGGCAAGAACAGTTTCGGTCCATTTTTTACAAAGTGTTTTAAAACGATTTCATTTTGTTTTACTCAAATTTTCTTTATTTACAAATGGCTTGCAAGAAACTTCAATGTATCATTTCTCGCTTTATTATGATATTCAATATGTGGCCGTAGTGACTACTTAAGATTCTTAAGGGATAAACTAAAAATATTGAATTGGAACAAAAGTTTGTAGCGTAAAACCCAAACAGTTGTAATTTTATTAAAAATGAACGAAATTTAAATTTAAACTACTTTCGAAAGGTCACTATGTCTTTTGAATTTCTGTGAATTTGATAATTTCCCTGGTAGTAAGCTACGTCATTTTGTCGTCATTTTGACATCAAAAAACGTCATTTTGACGTTAGCTTCCTATCAGGATTCTACATAAGAAAACTACGAGCTAGACACAAGATAGGCAATTTTCCTCTCATTTTGGATCTGTCACATGCTCAAAAGGAATTTATGAAAATTTCTAACTTTCTAACGTAAAAGCTTAAAGTTTTTTCTACAAAATCGTTTTTAAAAAATTTTTTTGAGATTTTTTGTTACTAAATTATCGCGGATTAAAAGGAACATCTTGAATTTAATCGCTCATAACTACAAAATTATCGTACTGCAATTTAAAAAAAAAACAGATTCTTAAAGCTGAAACTTTGCTTTATCGTACTATTATACAATTATAATAGTATAATTGTCCAATTTTTTTTAAAAAAAGCCCAGTAGATATGATATATACAAATAAAGTAACATTTCAAACTTCTTTAATCCAATCCAATATATGCATAAGTGCGCAACATTTCAAATTTCAAGGCTTGAGATAATATTGCTAATTATTGAGATAATACTGCTAATTATAGATAATATTGCTAATTATAGAGATAATATTGCCTCTATCTTTGAAAGTTTTAGATTTACATATTATAAAATAAAAGGCTCAAATAAATTTTGATAATATTTAATAGTTATAAAATAGTGTGTGTGTGTTGTGTAATATGTGTGTGTGTGTGTTGTGTGTGTGTGTCTTGTGTTGTGTATAAAATAATATTTTATATACCATACCCAATATTTTTTATAAAATATTTTCTATAAATTCTTATAAACATAATTATACACATAAGTATTTAAAAAAAAAATGTATTTTATAGTAGTCAGTTCCTATAATTTATACGTCCATTTGAAAGAGTAAACAGAGTGCATACATTATCTTATATTTTTGCGTAGCAATTTTCTAAATAATTTAACAAAATGCAAAATTAATCTGCTTTTTTTATGTAATAAAGAATCGATAAAACTAAATATTGTTATAATTCAAGCATTATAAAATAGAAATATGATCTACTACATACTAAAATTCAAAATATTTGGAGTAGAATTTAATTCTAAAGAGTGACAATTGAATCAGTGACAATTAAAAAAGAGCTCAATTATTAATTTTTGAGTGAGATTTCACTCTTTAGAGTTAGATTCTATTCCAAAGATTTTAGAGAGTAGGATAATTACTTACGAAATCTATCACGGCTGATGTTGTGACCAAAGAACAAATGAATATTACGTAGCTGAACTTCATTTTGCGATAGAATCTGTTGATGAACATTTATAATGAGTAAATTGGTCCGATAGTTTTTTAAAAATAATAATTGTGATCTCTCTGTCAGGTACATGCATGATTAATTTAATTACTTTATTAATTTAATTACTATCTCAAGAATGTACATAATGACGCTTTTAAATTTTATACTTCTTCAAATTCGTTCTCCTTCTGTTAAATAAAAATAATAATTAATATGAAAATATTAGTGATATGCCTGAGAAATTTAATTATTACATATTCTACTATGAGTAAAGGAAATAGCGATTGAACGAATAATACTTAACGATCTAATTATATAGAATTATATTTTTAAACTTTAAGACATTTTGTAAATAGTTTAAATAAACACAATTAAATAACAAAATTTTGCTGACAATTTTTTTGTCACGTAGATTTTAACAAAAATATATTATTCGTTGCCTCGTTGCATCATACAGAAAGTTGCTGTCTAGATATGCTTACGATATTAAATCTTTCAGAAATCATAGGAATTACAATCTTGAAGACAATTCTCATTCAAATAAATCACTTCTACAATTATATATAATACATAAAATTAATTTTTATCCTGCATTCTGACAAATATTATAAATCGTTTAACAAATTTTTATTTCATGTAAATATATATAATCTTTATAACGGCGCATGTTATTCTTTTTTCTTATAACTTGTATATTCCAGATTAAAGTTTTAATGTTATACGATTAATAAAAAAAAGTATTAAAACCGCTATAATTTTCTTACCTGCAATGTGCAAGTTATTACTCGAATGGCAAAAGTGTATATCGGAACATGGTCTACAGATACAGCGCACAATGGCTAGTCAAATAAATAAAATATGATAAGCATTTAGCGCAGTTAATTTCTGACTTAGTCACCTTTAATATTAGCATTATGAGTCACAAACAATAGGAAAACTTTTAAACCTTGTAAGAATTAGAGTATTACAATTAAAACACTTTCCTACATATTTTCCGATTAATATCAATTTTGGATTGTAATATTTAGTAAATAGAACAATCATCAATCAGAAATTTCCGGGCGATTGAAAGCATTAATAGCGCAAAAGTTGGTACGTTTGATCTTCACAATAGTATTTCATTTCTTACATTCTGTGGATGTCTATTAAGGAGGCCTAACTCAAAACTTTTGTGGTCGGCCGCAGCGTTTCGTCTTGGTCTCACACTACTAGACTCATCAATAAAGTGATGTAGTGTGGGACCTGTCTTAGAGTAGCTTTGCAACTGTTGTAAAATTCTTGAATATGATTGGTTTATACATTTAGATCCAATGAGGAACTACGGGCAAGACCAATCATATTGAAGAATTTTACAACAGTTGCAAAGCTGCTTTCTCTGCTGAACGCAGCCAATGAAAACTTTTCATTTTTTAAACTTTTTGTTAAAATATAAATGTAACTATTAAATTAAAATACATTTATATATCCGCGTATATGTAATATATTTTATTAAATCTATATTAAACATAAATAAGAAAGAGCGTACAATGACATACGCAAGATGTTTCCGTAACAAATCATATATTAAAAATTTTTTACATGTAAATGTTTCGATCAAGGCCATCATCAGTATAATAAAGAAAATGTGAATGTTAAATACTAAAATTACGCATTAAGATGTCGAAATACAAAAAATCCGAAAATTAATCCTGTTTCCTTGATCTTTTTGACAATGAGATTAAAACTTATTTCTTGATACTTGTATGTTAAATAAAGAATTACCAGATTTCGTGTTTCCACAACTATCAAATATAACATTACAATGTAAAAAAAAACATGTAAAAAAATTTTTAATATATGACTTGTTGCGAAAAACATCTTGCGTATGTGGCTGTATGCTCTTTCTTATTTATATTTTATGTTATCGAGCCACCTCTAATAACTTTTGTTAAATTTTATTCAATCTATATTACACTTATGTTAATGAAAATGTGGAATATAATAATTAATCAATTAAATAAACATTTCGTATTATACGAATTATCGTAAGCTTTAATAAAATGTTATAACAATTTCACATTTTTCCTATATTAAAATTGGCGTGTCATGTTTTTTTCGAAGCCTCTTTTCAAAGGGATGTTAAGAGTACTCCGATTTCGATGTGGCTTCGTATTCGGGGGTTTTAGGGGTTGCTCGTTCCGAAATTGTGATAAAAATTTCGAAATTCAAAATGGCTGAACCAATATGGCGGACGGAAATATTACGGAAATCCTAAAGGTTCTCCGATTTCGGTGAAAATTGGTATCATGAGATTTTTGGAGTTGCTCATTTAGAATTTGTGTTCAAAATTTGGAAATTAAAAATGGCTGAACCAATATGGTGGATGGAGAGGTTATGGAAATTTTAAAGATTTTTCGATTATGGTGTAATTTGTTTTTAGAGGATTTTTGGGGTCGTTCATTTCGATCTTGTTCAAAATTTGAGAATTCAAAATGCCCTAAAATTAAAAAATCGAATATTTTTTTCTGCATTCTTTTGCTCGTTTGCTCACGAATGCTGGCATTCGAATAGAATGAGCGCAAAAATTTTTTTTTGCTGATATAGGTAGCGCATAAATAGCGCATTATTCCATAATTTTTTCATGAAGATTTGTTTAAGTGGGGGGGGGGGGGGGGGGGGGCAAAGTGTTGCAGCGCAAAAACCAAAAACGCCTGGAAAAAGCGTATAAATAGCGCATAAATCCTGTGTATTTAATTTTCTAAATCGGTTGTTTTTAACGTATGGGGGGCTGACTGACTGCCTACTCAGCCCTCCACAAAAAACTCTTTTTTCTAGCTAAACAGAATAAACGCAAAAATTTTTTTTTGCGTATATGGGTTGCGCATAAATAACGCATTATTCCAGAATTTTTTCATTAAGATTTAATTAAGTGGGGGGGCATCTAACGTTTGCCTAGCTGGCCCCGCCACTTAATCATATCTTAATCGTTTGCTCACCCTTAGTTTAAAAGTTATATGACATTCAAATTTTGGGGGGCCAACTTCACGAGCCCCCCAATATTAAAAAATCGAATATTTTTTTTTAGTACGTTAGAGAAGGATCCATTATATAGATAATTCAAATAAACAAAAATCTGGCGCGCATTTTTTTTACGAGAATCTTAAATCTAGCAAAGAAATATATTACATACAGTTTTACTGTACAATTTATTTCCAACTATAACATATTTTTTTAGCATGAAAAGATGAATTGCGGATAAAATCATGTGGCTCAAACATTTAAATGTTGAAACTCTTATTACCCAATAAAATCTTTTTTGTAATTATGCAAACCTGTTATGTTGATAAATGATCAATAGCTTTGTTGCATGATGGAAAGGATTGACAAGTGTTTTCCAGCAAGGACTCAGTCAGATATTGTGTAGCACAGTGAATTGTTTGAATTGTTTCATGCTTGTTTAACATAAACAAACAATAAGGATATAATGATTTACTGTGTTACACTACGTCTGACTGTGTCCTTGCTGGAAAGCACCATATATTTATACAAATGATACGAATAAAATATAATGTATGAGAAAAATGTATCTTTTATTATAAATGTTATTTTATTTTACAATCGTACAATAATTACATAAAATATTTTACTCTGACACCTTATGTACGATTCGGTTGAGACACAAAATTTAATTAATGCATATTCAATAAAATATATTCCCTACAAAAAATTTCAAAATGTGATTATAAGGATATAAAGCCGGAAGAAATGTTATATTCGATAATTATAATAATAATTAGAATATTTATAATTTAAATTCAATGACAATTCAATGCGACAATTCTTTAAAAAAATATATATATATGTATACATTTAAAACGTAATGTTATTTTTCGTATTAACATATTCTGTAACCGTGTCATTTTTAAGTGATTTGACCATCATGTCGCCTGGATCATTGATATTTTTGTTTGCATTATTATATTTAAGAAATATAATTATATGATTAAAAAATGCCAAAAATTATCTTATATATAAAAAAGGTACTAATATATTAATATTGCATTTTATCAAAATATATCACGTATGATAAATAAAATTATTTTATAATTATATTTCTTTTTATAGCTAGAATATCAAATAATGTTGCATCTAACGTTAACAGTATAATATGATAATCACAGTGAGTTTTAGGTAAATGCACTGAATACTCGTCGAATTAATTCCACAGTGTTGGCATTTGTATAGACTATTTCAAACGTTCTGAAAAAAATTGAAACAAAGTAGAAAATATTCGATTGTGTGAATATTAGAGATTGTGAAAATATTTGAAAAGTGAATAATAAATGAATCGATATATCTCTACCTCTTTTGCCAAGCGATCGAAACCATTTGTGTACACCTAACAAGCTTGATGTATTCTCAATTCATCATTATTAATTTTCCAGATAGAAGCCAACATTTGACACTTGCTCATCCATGAGACAACATATGTCGAACTAACTGTCACATCATCGATAGTCTCCCAATGAATAAATTCCGTCGTTACTGTAATTATTCTACATAAAAATTCTGTATGTCAGTTCCTCCTTACTGATTTTGATACTGTCCATAAAAAATACCACGGTTGTCATGAGTCCATGTAATCGGTGCAAACTTGACTTTTTCCAAAATTTGTTGTGCAATGTGCAGAATGTATAAAAAGTCTGAAAAAAAAGTAAATAAATAAAAAGTATAGAGTACGTATTAAAAACTGCACAAGTGCAGTTTGTGAATTTCTTCTACATATAATTTAAAAATAAAAAAAAATAAAACTTTACTTTCACATTCAGAATATTATATATATATTTCATATACTTTTAATAAATAATGTACCTATTACATTAGAAGCAGAAATGTAGCTCTCAAGAATGTTACTATTATTTTACCAATATATGCATTCAAGAAATGAAAAGTTCTCCAATCAGAACCACTTTTAGATAATCCATATGCAAAAATGCTGTCCTTATCACTGTTTACTCCATACAATCTTACTTTGTACATCACCTGAAAAATAATATTGTATTCATATATTGAACTTGTAAATCATTCCTTTTGTATATATTTAATTTTTCATGTACATACAGACCAAGAAACACATATCTCGATAAAAACGCAGTCCCAGCTAATTTGAATAACTTCGCAAGCAATCTAAATTTTTTTATTTTTTTAACATTTGTCCGTTTAGTATACTTTATTGATATTTTTCTCGCTTCATTGTACATGTAATTATTTTCATAGTTCTCTTGTTGCTTTCTATAGAATATTTTAATAACAAATGTACACCATTGAATGATAAACTATTTTGCAGTTTCTCCTATCGAATAATCTAGTTGCATTGGACAATGACTAGAGAGCTTGGAAAATGTTTCCAAATATATATCTAATACTTCCTAATTTTTTTTTACTTCAGTTGTATATGAACTTCACAAACTACACTTCTGCAGTTGTTAATGCGTGCTCTATACTTTTTAAAATATCCTTATTTTTCAGACTTTTTATACTGCACATTGCAGATAGTCTATTATTTAAGAAACAAAATACACAAATGATAATTTTTGAAACTTACAAAAATTTTAACAAAGATATCAATTTAGTATAAAAATTAAATTATTAAAAAAAACAGAAAGACTGAAAAATTCAACTTTTTCGAAGGAAAAAAGAAACAAACAATGATTTCAAAAACAAACAGAATAGAAATGAGAAGGTCAATAAAATTTTGCCTTATCTATGCTGTTAGCATTTCTTTTACGTGTTGTACTTTTTACTGTGGCTTTGTCAACAAGTTTCATTAGTTGTCTTTTGTCTCGCTTCATTTCAACAATGTTTGAGTAAAGTCTCTTAACAGTGGGACTTAATAAATTTTTACGAGTAATTCTACCGAGAATATGTCTTGGATTTGACATAGCCAATGTGTTCTTAATATTTTCGATGTCATTTTGTTGTCGCATTATTGTTTCTTGCTGCTCCATTAATATTTCTTCTTGCTTTTGCAATTGCATACTATGTTGGGCTAATACTTTTCGATTGCTCTCTTGTTGCATTATACAGTTGTGTAATGTCTGCTGTTCATCATTAGTATGTTGTTCACTATGTTTGACATTCATATAAACTATGTGCGGTATATTTAGAGATGGAATTGCAGCATGTAATAAAACTCTTCTTGATGAAGAACCACTGTAATCTTCATCAGAAAAATGCTTATAGCAAATTCTTAACTTTTTAATTTCATTTTCATTCTCTATTGGTTTCATGTTCAATTTTTCAAACCATTTCTTGTGGCGTTGAGCATCCTTTGGGAACATATGAGATGGAATGTTTTTTCCCGAAGAACATTCTGGAACACAACATGCTCGCACCATTGCGATCAAAAAAATTTGTCCCTTATAGTTGTGTTCTATTTTTTATTTTCTCTGTAGGACAATTTGTGTTGAATATAACACATTTCATATATCCAAATGGTCCACTCAGAATAGTAATATTACTTTTATAAAATTATAAACAACCAGTGAATCGTTCAATACATTTTTTTATGATAATAAGCAATCGATTTTGTTTAATTTATATTAGACAATAAGCATCTTTTATAAAAATCTCAAATCTGATGTTAACGAAATGTAAACTGTGAACAACTTATTGTACAAAATCTTTAAATAACATCATAAATTATGATACATTAACACTCGAATATGTTAAAAACATTCAATACAAACTGTGAACGATGTGAGTGGACCATTCTCAACCAAATGCAAAATTACTGTGTATTGTTTTTTACTGTGTACTCACGTGTATTGTTCGTGATCGCTAGATGGATTGCTCTTCTATGTTCTTGGAGCTCAGGCTTATATAAAGCGCGCGATGCATCTGCATCAAGAATTCCGGCTGTTTCTGACTCTTTATTTCTCGTTGTGGCAATAACTGACTGAGGAACACAATATCTTAATAAACAAGCATATTATTATAACGCTTAACTAACTTACCGTTATCGTCTCGATCGTGATCAGCCACACTCACTTCGAACACTTGTCAATGTTATTACATGTTATCAAATTAGTTTACCGGTCTCACCAGTCTCATCACCAAAGATAATCGAGGAAGATCGATGATGATCAAGAATGAACATTGGTCGCGTTCAGCAGACTCAACTATTGTGGAGCAGATCCCTGAGCACTCGCTGCTATTGGTGTATTCTTCTAGATCATCCAATAGCAGCGAGTAGAAATATGTCGTTCATGAACGTTCCGTTCACTTTGAACGGATCCTTTTCTTCTTCTTCTTGCAGCTTCCTCTTTAATTGGTTCCCCGAAACGGATCCTTTTACTAGTCTGTTGCTGGATTCACACTGCATCCGATGTGCGTCGTCCGTCGCTCTGCAACCAATCAGAAAACAGGATTCGGATGGATTTTGCTTCGTATCGTCGGAATGTTGATTGGATGATCTGAAAGAATACACCAATAGCAGCGAGCGCTCACGGATCCGCTCTGCAACAATTAAATCTGCCGAACCCAACCATTCTTTCTGGAGAGGAGTAGATGCGCAATGTGATCTATGTACTACGTACCGGGGTGATCCTGATTGACCACGTCTCGATTGGACACCACCAATCACAGCGACCGGTGCTTAGGAGCTTTGTAGTCTCAAGCGCTGTGAGTGGCTCGTGTCCAACTGGGTGCCACCCATGCGCGATATGGAACGCACCTCTAGTAGGCACGTCTACTTTTCTGACTTTTCTGCACTGTTGGTATACATGTGATGTGTGTCCTGTGGATATATCGCTGTATAACGCGTGTCCAATGTGTCAGCCGACTTGTCTCATGACAAGCGCGAACCGGGACAGATGTGTTTCGTCTCGGCTTGAGTGTTGCATCATTCCAAATTTGTGTTAGTCCATCGAGACTATTCATGCTTAATATCAGTATTTGTTGCCTGCATTTTGAATTTTTTATTGCTTCATACAACTAGCTAGATCGTAGCCGAGGTAGCCGCAAGTGCCAATTAAAAGAAGAAAAAGAAGTGTCCAATGTGTCCATGCTATAACCAGAAACTTTAGATCACAAATATGCATCTATAATTATTTTTGTATATTTATATTTATGTATTTATTTTTATAATTTGTACAGTAATTATTCAGAAGACTCTATTTGGTTCTCAATTTTTGTAGTTAACGTGTTTGATATAAATTACATATAGTTACACAATGTTTTCAAACAAACAGATTACCACATTTGTCTATGACACAAAAGATTGTAATTTTATTGTTAAGTCATATGAGGAAAATGAATCTTCATTTGATAATATTTTGCGGCAAACGTGGAAACAAGCTGAACAAATTAAAACATTCCGATATATTTTAAATATAAAAGATAGTAAAATATTGAAGGGAAAATACAAATTTTTAGCACAGGTATACTTATTGTTATATAAAAAGAATATACGTTTTATATCTAACACATAATGCAATGGCAATTTCAGTTAAATCCAGATAGAGCTCAATATAGACGTGCTCCAGAATCAATCACGTCTACGGTACAATCTTTTAGCTCTACACGTTTTAATTTCACTAAACTAACACAGCAAGAGATATTATTTGATATAGGAAATGGCGACACAAATGACATAATTGCAATTAATTCCAGTCCTTTGGAACAGAGTCATTGTTTATTTCTTGCAGAACGTTTAAAATGTTTGCCACAAATCATGACAGAATATAGTCTTCGCAAAGTAATAGAATTATGTCTGTTAAGTAATTCATGGTAATCATTGTTGTGTTAGAAATTTTTACTTAAAATAAAATGACAAAATAACGTATCATTTTTTTGTTTCAGGTCTTTAAGAGCTTTTTTTAATGGTTTGTGTGCTCTTTCCTCTGTCAATCATTTACACTGGCATTTATATTATTTGAAATATGAGATGCTTCTTGAATATATCGTAAGTAATATTATATTCGATCGTGAGTGAGTGAGAGAGAGAGAGAGAGAGATTTTTTAATATTTGCAAAATATCGATATTTGTTTTGTTTTAGGATATTTGCAGTTATGTATCTGGTATTCACTTGTTGATAGAGTATCCAGCAAAAGGATTCTGTCTCAAATTATCTGATTTTAAAAATATTAAAGATTTCGCATCTCGTGCATTCGTTGTAGTGAATTATTTACAATTACGTCAAATGGCACATAATGTATATATTACACGAGCGAAATCAAAATCTAATGATAAATTGTATAATGATGTACGTATTTATATTTGGGTTCGAAAACCATTCACTGGTGTAAAAGATATAACTGCAATTCTGCCTGGAGTTTGCGAACTCTCTGGACATTTAACAATTAGTGGTAAGGATTTATGTTTAATACAAAATTTCTCTTGTATAGAATTATATAATTATTAGGCGTCATCTACAATACACGGAGTAAGAAGTAAGAGTAAGAAATTGACCAATCACAGTCGAATGTAAGAAGAATAATCGACTGTGATTGGTCAATTTCTTACTCTTACTTCATACTCCGTGTATTGTATACGGGCCTTTATATCATATATACATATATTTTAGATGAAACTGTATACAGTAGTTTGACAGAAGATGATGTAATTAATGTTCTTCACGATATTACAGAAGAGTGTTTTTTATTAATCAAAGATGAGCTTAAAAATATTTTGGAAAAATAAATAGGAAATGTATAGTATGTGACAAAAATTTCTGGACAAATATATTTATGTGACATTGTTTTCTGTGTTGATTTTTAAATAGCAATAAAATTTCTATTCGCATATGCCATATCTTTTAATTACATTATTGCATTTTTAATTTTTAATTCAGCTAAATAAATAAGTTAATCGCTGCGATTGGCTGCGATATGCGGCGACAAAGTAGATATGTAGCACTTGTGAATATCGACCTAAAGTATTAGACGGACATTGAAATTAACCAATCAGAAGAAAGAAAACCAATATCAAGATTAGTAAACTTTGTTTTGATTGGTCAAATTCAATCTCTAATCTGATTCGGGCTGTAGACTTTCATGTATAACAGCCATTACGCAAAATGGTGCAAGCAATTGAATATTGAATTCGATATATATGCACACATGGAGCAATATGGTTTCTCTAAATTAGTTTCGTGATTGGTTACCTGCGCTATAATAATATGTGAATAATTACGCACGGCCATTTTGTGCCGCTTATACTATCGGAGAGATCGCAAGTTTTGATGTCGAACTCGTCTAATTTGGGGCGCTGCGCAATGTTTTCCCGAGTGTCGCACGTACGATTGTTTATCCGCCATTTTGTTCTGCTATCGTACACGCAGTTTTCGGTAGCAGTGTAGTCTATTTTAGGATGAATACACGCTACTGAAGCGAATTAGATCGTGCATTATTACCACTTTATCAATCTCCCATACATTTGCGGAAAGTATCGTCGCTCGAAGAATGTGAGAAGTCTAGTTTCTCAGGATGTACCTGTGATGGCAACCCGTGACAAGTTACATCTGACCCAACTTTCCTGACTTTTGAGGCCAAATGACGATTACTAAATAAAACGGACGATTTTCGCTTCGTTCGTCACGTAAGTCTGTCCAGGACATTTGCGGCATGTATGTACCAAGCGGCACCAAGTAATTAATATCTTTCTGTTTGACACTCTCATGAAACATCGAATGTGTTTGAGAGATCGCTCCATATATCATAACTCCATGAATGTTTTTTCAATTTTCTGAACCGTTATTCGATTACCGTTCCCTTTGGGAAGAAACGGTGTCATAAATAAATTCGTTAATCTTAGTAATCTCATTGTATAGCCTTCGCGTTTGCTCCAATCAATTTTATCGTTTGTATTTAGCAGCTGTTTCGTGGTCCTTTAGTTTGGTTATATTAATGATATGAGTTATGTATCGGCTGTGCGTGTTTCACATAAAATTATAGTATTAATTTATTCACCTGTTAATTTGATAGTAAACATAAATCATGTACTTATATACGATAGAAAATAGATTTATACATTTATATATTACTTAGAAAATATATTTGAGTAACCTTGTATACCAAGATACTTAAACATAATTTTATTTAAACAGATAATTGCAAAAAGAAACTTATATAACATGGCATTCAAGTGAATTTATTCTTTAATGATTAAAGAAACACATTTTACCGTAACACTGGACTATGCGTGTTTAAAAATACTACTTAGGCTACGTTCCACTAGACGCTTGCTACTTGTGGAATCATTGTTTATCAAATGTTAAACAAAACCAAATTATGCTTGTGGAATGCCAAGTAGAAGATATTTCTGAATGCTTTCATGTATTATTTTAGCCTTATTCACTGAATATTGAACACCAAATATTAATAAAATATAGTATTTCTGAACATATAACTCTGTTTTTATATTTTTGTGTAAAGTAAAAGAAATTATTATATCAAATTAGATTAAATTTATTAGAATTAATTTTTATATAATATCTTAGATTTAATTTTTTAACATTTTTTTGTGACTCTCAGCTATGACTCACTTGCTGTTTCAATTAAAATGGTTTTATATTATGAACTAAATAATTCACAAGAATTTAGACACCATGTTAAACAGTTATTCGTAGATTGTTGAAAAAGTATTATTTACATCTTATTTATGACGATATTCAGAATTATTAAAATCCTTTGATTCTAACATTCTTTTAATAATAATTAAATAAATACTTACATAAATATATAAATAATAGATAAATTTTGTATATTATTGTATTGATGTAATTGATGGTCAAATTACGTTATCTATTTTCTAATTAACGGTATACTTAATTTTGTTAAATTTTGTTAATTTTGCTTATATAAAAATATACCTATTTAATAATTTTTGTGTATTGTGTTGTAGAATGTCAGGGCAGAGTGGTGGACAACGAGTGTGTTTGGCCAGACTTAATGAACATTTGACATGCAAATTATGTGGTGGATATTTTATCGATGCGACTACTATTATAGAATGTTTACACTCGTGTACAGTATCTTTCTACTATATCACATATAACGCTGTATATTTAAACTTTATATGACTAGTAGCTAGATACTAAGATCTTTATTGATTTTTACAGTTTGCAAAAGTTGCATTGTTAAGTATTTGGAGAGTAACAAGTATTGTCCAATCTGTGAAGTACAGGTTCACAAAAGTAGACCACTATTAAATATACGTCCTGACCACATATTACAGGATATTGTTTATAAACTGGTACCTGGATGTTACCAAAGTATGTTTTTTCTTTAAGAAAAGAATTTATTTCCTTATCATATTATGTATGAGATGGTAACAATAATGAAAACATTGTTTCAGACGAAATGCGATGTCGGAGAGAATTTTATGCAAAACATCCAGAAGAATCTATTCAAACAATATCTCCTGAAGCTCGTGGAAAACCTATAGAATCGCACATATATTCTCCGGATGAATCCCTCAGCTTGTCCCTGGAATATTCTGATCCTCGTACAAAAGATTTAAGTGATACGAATACTGGGAAATCCATTTTAAGGCGATATTTTCGATGTCCTGCAGCAGTCACAATATTCCATTTACAAAAACTAATAAGAGCCAAATATGGTCTTGGTGATGTAAATAGAGTTGACATAATGTACGAAGAAGAGCCATTATGCAGTAGTTATTCATTAATGGATGTAATGTATATCTATCATTGGAGGCGGGTATGTATTTAATTAATTTAATATTGAATTCAATTATGATATGTGCATACATATTATTTATAGTAATATTGTGTTTATTGTATTGCAGAAAGTACCATTGCACTTAAGTTATAGAATATTTGAAACGTCTTCAAAACGCCTGAAATTATCGGAAGACAATGCAAACTACAAAAAATCATTAATGGATGCTGGCATTGATTCTATAGAATTAAAGGATGAGAAATCGTTAAAACGCGAGTGGAAAGAGGTGCAATTAAAAATATCAGAAACAGGAGTAATGAGTATAACCGATATATCGAATACAGTACATAAAAGGGACATCGAGACTTTACAAGATGAGAAAATTTCAGAGGAGACTATAGCCTCTATTGCGGAAATTAATAAAGCAGATTCGGTGATAGAAAATTGTGGTATACCTAAATCTGTAGAAATAATGCAATCTACTTTGATCATTGATCCAGAATTAACGAAAAATCCAATATTTTCTGATCCAAACGATGCATTCCTTGTTACGAGTGATGTTAAGTTTACAAACGAGAATTCACCGACTAAGAATTGTATGCCACTAACAACCAATCAGCACAATGGAACTGCTACAAAGCAGGCAAATGAAACAAGAAATTGCACCGCTTCTGCAAAATCGCAACAAGATGCACAAGAAGTAAAAGTCCAAAATCAAACTGTTAATGTCGAAGACAAATCTGAGACAGTTTCACAAGAGCAAAAGGCTATTGATCAATCGGCAACACAATTTATAGAGAAGAAAGTAGTTGAAATCAAAGATAAAGAAAAGATAGACGCACCTGTGGAAAAGATGTCAATAAATAATAATAACAATAGTGCGGATTTTCAGACTGAATCTCAGAAGGAATGCATAAAAAATTCAAGTGAAGCAAAAATGGTAAGTGCTGGATCAAAAATTGACGCGTTAAGCGCGAAATTACAATTTCAACCGAAAGTAGGTCAAGTTAATAACACTTATTCCAAGAAAGCGCCGAAGGAAAAACGAGCGATGTTTCAGCAAGGTACGAAAAAATCCGATGTAAAATCATCAACCGAAGATACAAAACTTACTGATGCGAAAGCGCAAACAAATTGTGAGAATGTAACGAGTAATGCATCAGTTTCGGTGGCAACTTCTTCACAAAAATCGATCGTGTCTACTACGGTGGCATCTCAAAATATTTCGGATTCCTTGCCAGTATCTGATAAACAAAAAGCTCTCGACGAAAAGAATAATCAAAGTATAAGTATTGATTTGCAACAGGCTTTGAATTTGTTGGAACAGAGAAACTCGCCTGTACTAGCATCACCAGAGTCTGCTCCGAGAACGAGTCACACCACCGGTATGATCAATCAGAGATTATCGAACAATATAGTCACGATGAGCGAGGATATTGTGTCTACTACTGTACCAAACGTTTCTACAGCCACGATTAGTCAGACAACATCAACGTTTCCCTATGTTTCGCTTCACGACATTGTAACTAACTCGGCCGTCCTAAAATCAGCATTAAAGAATTCCAGTAGCATACCTCAAAAACCATTAGGAACATCGGCCATTGCTTGTTCAACATCTAACAACCAAATATTACCGATGCCTCAATTCAACATGCAAACGTCACCCATGAATATGTATTCTATACCTACGTCGCTGAAGAATAACTACAGTAACGTAAGTCAAGATGTAACTACTGTAACGGCTGCATCCACAGCAACGATCACTACGACGGCGATGTCAAAACCAATATCGATCGGTGCGTGCCCGATACCTCCATGTCCGGATGCAATCCCTATATCTCTGATGAAACAAATATCCATGCGTAAACAGGACGTGGCCGCAAAGGGTACCAATCTGAATGAAATTTGCGCAAAAATCGGTTCCAACACGATCGGTTCGAAGATCAATGATATCTGTGCAAAAATAGGAGAAAATTCAAAGGAGAAGAACAGGGTAGATGCGCATAGTAAGTCGGAAGTGCCAGATCTGCTTAGAATAAGCGCGAAGAAGAATCCTTCTCCATTATTACCCAATTCAGATACAGCGTTGAAGCATATACCGAATATCCCGAATGTACCAGTGTATACTCCAAGTAGCAATGCGACGCCAATGGAGAATAAAAACACCAAGCCTGCCTTACCTACGTCTACATCTGCCAATGTGCTGGCGGTGTCAACGTCTTCGGTACCGGCGTCGTCTCACGCAAACCAGAGATTAGCGCCTCTCAAGAAGCAGAACCAATCGATTGGATACAAAACGTTGCGCGATCCACCTAAGTCTTGGAACCCTACATTGTCGAAAAATAATTATGTAGCGGCAAAGAATCAGGCGAAGGAGATACAAAATCAAACTCAGACTTCTATATCCGAGAGTACAAACAAACAGATCCCATCTAAACCGGCTAAGATCTTTAAAATGCGAAACATGCCACGATATTTGGGTAATCCCGCATCAGGTGTGAAGCCCATGTATGGGGTCGTAAGCGACACGAAGGAGAAAGACCAATCAACAGTCAACACGAAGGGTGCTACTCTCAATATGATGAAAATCGATCCTAAGACTTTGTCGCCCATCGTCTCCACGATTAATTCACCGATCGTTTCTCCACCACTTTATTCGCCGAACGCTCGAAGCTATCAGAATACTCCGTTCTCACGGGATATATGTCGAAACACTGGCTCGCCTATATCACCAAGGAATTCTCCGGTAAATATGTTGTCGACTAATCCATTCATACCATCTCCCACGCCCAACACTAATCCTCGGATCATATATTCTCACTTTCCATCTCCGTTCCCAGACGCAAGCCGATTTCCAAATCCTTTGATACGTTCGCCCATCGGCATTCCGCCTCCTAGTGCCTTCCACAGTAGTCTACCGCCTTCGATCAACAAGCTGTATCAGCGATCGAGTTATATACCGCAGACTACTGGTTACGCGCCAGTGGTTGGCCAACCGCCGACGGTACAGAGAATACCACCCAGCACGCATTCATCCTCGCCAAAGTCGCCCAAAGCCTCGTCGCCGAGTTCGATCTCGTCTACGTTCAATCTTGGGAAGGCGGAATCGCAATCGCCGATCACATCAACGGTGGACAATGTCGCGCTACTTCTCTCTAAGAACGTAGCCGTACCAGTGTCTGTGTCACTGCAACGAGAACTTAACGCGTTCAATCTATCCAAAACTGGTGGTTTGTCACAAAGTCCAACGTCCAACGTTGTTAAAACATCGTCCACGATGGACACGAATGATGCCAACGTTGAGACGCAGCTTGCTAAATCGAATTCTTCTTCGCTCAACTTAGTGGCGGTTACGGCAAACACCGAAGTACCCGAAAAATCGAGCTTGCCAAACAGCGCTAATGAACGAAAACAAGGTAAAGAAACGGAGGCGCGAAAGGTGCAGGAAATCGTACGATATAAAGAAGACAGCTCCAAGGCGAAGCTTACGGAAGCGAAATGCAGTGTAGAAGTTGCTGACAATGTTGCGAGCCTGCACGACAAAAAGGAGAAGAATCAAGCGGCTAAAATCAACGGCGATGTTACAATAGAACAATTCGCAAGTAAGAAATCTAAGGAAGCTGATAGTAACGACGAGAAGAAGACAACAGCAGAGACGACCGAGCGAGATGGCCAAGTAGAACGGTCTTCGCCCAAAGAACGGAATAGTATTCCGAGGATTAGCACACAAGCCAATGACTCGTCAGCAGACGGTTCCAAGAACGAAGATCTCGGTAAGAGCGGTGAGCAGATACAGGGTAATAAATCTGAAGTACAAAAAAATAAGGCAGAGACGTGATCGAGAGAGGATTAATCGTCTTTAGATGCGAGTCGTAAAAATCTTGCTACGCGTATCAGTTGCATTTAATTCGAGATGGCGTGGCTTAAGTAAGATCGATCCTGAATAAGCTTATACATAGCCCATATTCTGATGTTTACTGCCAGTAATTCTAATGTTTCCAACCGCATGATTGAATATGTATATATATAATATGTATATATATAATTGCGTTTGACATCAGCACGCGTTATCAAGAAAACATCGGAAAATAAGCTTGTTGCAAGCTGAATGAGAAGTTTTTACAACATGCCCATCATGTAAGCAGCAAAAAAAGCACTTATGATCATTGTTGAAGATTTCAAGAGTGTTAGGAATTTGTACATTTTTGTAAATAGCAATTGTGAAAGATTTAATTATTTTTTATTATAAATGAGTTATATGACACTACGTTGAATATATTATTTTATAGGTATACGTTGGATGAGATATATAATTATAATCGTCTGAATTTTCATATGCATATCCAACACCGTTATTAACGTCAACGATTCTCCGTTGTTATTATACTTGCATGTACAGATATGTATACGGCGTATCCCACTTCAATTGTACATACATATATATATATATATATGTGTCTTTCCTTTTAGTCGTACATTATTCATTTCAAATGGTTTCTAAATCGATTTGTTTAACGAACGTGACTCTTTCCCATTACAATCTCTAACAATTTTCTAATGTATATTTCTTATTAAATGTCGTATGATGAAATTTTATTAAACGATATTTTATCAAAATGTATGTAAAATTATTTCTATATGAAAAAATTTCTGTATGAAATTTCTATATAAAGAAGTTTCTGTATAAAAAAGAAATGATGTGTCTCGAGTAGCGGAAAAAAAGTAATATATTTCAAGTGGGAGGCAGTCTCTATGTCATATTTTTCTTCGTTACATATATTTTATATATATTGCAATATATAATGAAGCATATATTTTTCACGGATATGGACAAGTTGTGCACTAAACACTTGGAAAACTTATTAAAGTTACATATTTAAATCAACTATATGATTTGTATCTCTCTTAGTGCATATGCTTGCTGTTAATTTGTTAATAGTATAATGTATGACGCATTAAATGTCTTAATGACATATAATATGCGTTCTCGTGCATATTAAATGGATGCAAAGTTATTCCTTAGCATTAAGTAATTAAAAATGTCACGATCACTTTTTCGAGAAATGTAATTATGGAAAAACATGTTTATGAAACGTGTGAACACATAGTTCTTTGTAGTAGAAGAGAGTACCCATACAATGAGCACACAAATATGTGTATAAAAGAAGTATTAAGTATATAGTTAAGGTAATTAAATTAATAATAATGTTACCTAAATTTAAATTATACATTTTTATATCACATAAGGTTGATAACAAAAATTTATATAGTCCGCAGCATTGAATATTTTTGAAAAACCCTTTATTTATATTAAAAGGAATTGTACGGGATTATATTATGTGATGCAATAATGTTTCCGTGAGAAAACTTTATTTTCAACTTTATTGTCGGAAATCACCATCTTGGAATTTGCGTTATTTATGTAATCTAGATTTATATTCTATATTGATAAGGACCTAAATTGAAGAGTCGAAACGTTTATTTTATTCGTTTTGTTACATTCTCAATAAAGTTTTCTGTGCATCCGAACAGCCGATGTAGGCTCTGATGGGCTTTTTTATATTTTTCACTTATACATACATTTTCGATTAATATTTTTTTAAGGTAATATGCTTTTGTACAACATTAATGTATATTTAATGCATGTGTATTTATCACATTAGGTATCAGTTAAAGTATGTAAAAATAAAATTGGATTTAAATATCATTTTGTATACTCGAGAGCCAAAATGCTATTTTGTTCTGATATAGAGAAATTAAATTGCATTCGCACTGAGCTTTCTTCTCAGTGGCTGATCGTCTGATCAGTTGCTGGAGAAAGACGAGATTTGTAGAAAAAAAATTTAGTGTAACGGCATTTTTATTCACTCGTAGGTCTATTCTTTTTAGCTGAACTTGCACAGTTTACCTCTTTTCTTTTTCTTTCTCAAGTAAGAAGAAAAACAGGAAAGATAAATTGTCCAAGAAGTTCAACTAAAAAAAAATAAGCCTTATACATTTTAACTGAACAACATTTTTGTTCTTCACTGTACACTCATTGGTAATTTATGAACATAGTAATTTAAAAAAAACGAAAATCGAAAAAAATTCGCTGTAAAATAACTACCCATGTTATCAAAGTTATATAAAATCTCGTCAGAGTATTCATAATTGTTTCCACATATAATATAATTAAATAAAAATTTTTTTACTTTGAGACCAGTTCGATATCGGAACAAAAACAATATAATTTCGAGGGTAATTTTGAAAATATTCACTGCTAATGGTAGTGAAATGTCCGAGGCCTTATCCTATCATATATCGAATAATTAATATGGAACAATAAAAATGATAAACTGTATGCGATATAAGTACGAAAAAAAAATTAGTTAACAATTAAACACTGTGATCATTACGTTACTTCATCCTAGAGATGGAGAAAATATTTTAACAAAGCAAAATTATTAGTCCTAAAGTATAATATTTTTTTTTCTGCCTTTTCACTTCCTACTTTGCCCATTTTCTTCGTTTTATGTCTGTACTTTCCAAGCTTTCTCTACCGTTTTCTTTCTCAACTATTTATCTGTATCCATATATACTTTCATTTTTTAATATATTTGTGCGTTTTGTTATCCGTTTACATAATCCGTGCGTATTGATGAAAGAGTAAACGAGCATAATTTAAGAAAAGCATCAACAAAGTGAAAAAGTTTGCTAAATAATTTTAATGATTAGAAATCAATTTCTCTTAAATATGCAAAATTTTATTTGTATATAATGTACTATGATTATAAAATATATATTACATATAGTAATAGCAAAAGAATTATTAATTAACACAACTTTATATTTAATTAATTATATAAAGGAATAAACTATACATTATAATCATAATATTTTTCCGTTTAACAAAAACAAAATTTTAGGTAAACACTGGGCTGCAAAATAAAAGATGTATTGTATTTTTACGTAGTTTTTATATATGTGTATATGTGTATGCATATACATGTATAAACATACGGAAAAAAAACAATAGTGATTCTACATGGAATTCAAAGATTCTCTTCACTACTTATGCAAAAATATAATTGACTGCACTTACAGAAAACTGTTATTATTCATATAAAACATTATCCTTATATACAAATTACTACCAAAGCAAAGTTAAAGAAGGAATTTATAAACTGTACATTATAATTACTCATTAGAAGTTTATATATTAGACATTTTTTCAATGTGTCTTATAGCATCCTTCAACTTGTATACCAACTCTTGTAACTGTTGTATGGTACACGTAAATATTACATGCCTCACTTGATTACATTTTTTTGTACTTATTCGTATGTTATAAATTGGTACATTGGTAAATCGAGTGCTAATCTGCATTAAAGAACAAAATATTTAATTTTTATATATACAGATTATATAATAATAAATTATTTTCGTATTGTTAAATTACGGGAGCTTTCCAGCAGAGGCACAAATTAACACAATAGTCATTCCGTCTTTGTTTCTTACTAATTATTGTACAAGGACAGAATGACTCTTGAGTCAATTTGTACAACTCGCTGGTTCGCGTAAAGTAGCCACAGTAGTGTCGCTGCGCGTAGCTTAGCGCCGAGACACTACCAGTGTCTCCAGATATCTTGCTGGAAAGCTCTCTACATTATGTGAGGTAACAAAATCTACATAACATTACTAAAGAATAGTGAATTTACCTTGACACAATGGTGCAAACGCCAATCTATGTCCACTATGTGGGGTAAACTATTTCCTGTCAATTCCAGCTGAGTCTGGATATTTTGTTTATTGTTTATATATGTACTACATAACGTTTCAATTCTATGCCCATTAATGTGTTCATTATGTAGAAAATGTTTTAAGCTTTCCTCATCGTAATTATGTCGAGCAGCCTCTATAAAGAGGCAGGATACATTAGCAACTGCAGCCTTTATCAGATCTGATTTGGATGGATGAACAGTTGCGATACCTGATATAAAAGATAATTAATTACATTTGTATCTCAAATATTCTTATATTTTGAGAAAAATTAAAACTTATTTACTTTTTCCATTGTTATTTTTAGAAATATATAACATTATAATATCTAATAACTGTAGAAATGCTTCTTCGGGCAAAATGTTGCTATTTTGGATGCTTGCCAAGCCATCAACAATTTCTTTTGCCAATTCCATCTCATAATATAATATCAATACACTTTTTAATAAACATAAATACAAATATTTTAAAAATAACTGTTAATAAAAATAAGCTAGTTTGCGCACATGTACTTCAACAATCTCAAGTTTTTAAAAATTACAGTATTGATTATTAATTTTTAATAAATTTGTTGATAAATTTGTCTGAAATATGGACAAAAATTATGTTAGGCTTATGTGTTAAATATTTGTTTATATATAGTTTTATATGGACATTTCATACTTGATATTTATAAATACCATAAGAAATGTTGAAATTTTTTGTTCTTATTTTAATACCGAACTATGCAAAAGCTATTTTTTATGTGAAAATATCAAAACATTATAATATCTGTCTTTTTCGGAAAGATTTAAATTAAATATCTTTAAACAATTCTAATTATTATTTATTTAATACAAAATTTCTTACTAACACGGCAATTTTAAGAGAGGAATCTCCACCACGGAGGTTAGTATAAGTTAGCGGGTGAAACTGAGAGACTGTAGAGACACCATTCGGAATAATTGTGAATTACAGGCTCGTACTTTTTTTATTACGGCAAAAATATTAAAAAATGTAATAATATAACGCGTTTATAATTGACAATTTTTAGGATCGATAATACGATTATTTATAAAAAATGTCAAAATAAAAATTTGCTAAAGTTATATTGTATTACAATTAAAGGGCGTAGAAGACATTTTCGTTTATTACAAATTTTTAAGAGTCAAAATGCAAAATTCTGCTTACAAGCTTTATTAATAATACAAAGAATACAAAAATTTTCTAAGAAAATATCCCCTCCTCCCAAAAAATAAAACATAAATGTCACTTTTTTCTAAATTTAAAAGGTAATCTGTAAAA